TTTTTTTTTAATTTCAACCTGCAGAATGACTTGTTTGTTTGTTTGTTTTTTTGTTTAACGTCCCTCTGGAGAATTTTTCACTCATGTGGAGACGCCACCACTTGCCGGTGGAGGGTTGCAAATTTAGACCTATACTCGGCACTTAGGGTCATTGAGGAGTGAGGGATCTTTTTTGTGCCAGCACCTAGTGCGACAAGGGATCTCGGTTTATATGGTCTCATCCGAAAGACCAGTTTACATGTCCCGCAGTGGGATTCGAACCCACGACGTAAGGATTAACTCCTTACTCTGCGCTCTAACCACAGCGCCACGCGGGCGACACCTGCAGAATAATGGTAATTAAAGTTTTATTTAGTGTCAACAGAATTCTCGGCTGGTATTGCACAATATACATATTTCTCCTGTACACAGCATTGCATATATTACATCGAAACTACATAAGACCTATTGTCCTGTTTAAAGCAAGTCTTTCTCTTACCTGATACAGTTATATTCTGTAAAACTTGATTTGAAAATTTTGACTTCACACAAATCTGAGGTACATGTATAAGCAATAAGAAAAGCAAGATCCATTTATAATGCAATATTTAACTTACAGTTTTAGGCTTACCTTCTCAGCGTGATTTTTTTTATTTCAATTAAAATGAAAGAAAAATATATCTATGTAATAACACTTTTTAAAAAATCAAAACATAAATGGGATTATTTTTCTGTCACAAAAAGTATCAATTGGTGTAAATATAAGAATGTTTCTATTGATAGATGCTTATCTTGAATATTATATATAAGGTACGTCAGATAAATAGTATTAACAATTAAAGGAAAATGCAAGTTTTTCCAATTTTTCTTATAAGTTAATGAGAAATTATAAATATTCTTAGCTACACTTTCAGAGAAACTTGGTTTACTTCAAACTATTATTCGTTATTTGCCTGATATAGACACTATGAATTCATTTAACATTTATTTAAAGTCTTGGAGGTTAATTTTTCTTATTAAAAAATCTTGAAGTTTAATAATTGCGCAGTTTTTTTGTTTGTTTTGTTTTGTTTTGTTTTGTTTCTTTGTTTTTTGTTTTGTTTTGTTTTTTTTGTTTTGTTTTTTATAAGAAAATAAATCTTTACGAAAAGTAGGCTTTAGGTTTCAAAACAATCAATGAAATTGGAGAAAAATAGTTTCCTTTTTTCATGTTACTTGCGCTCCTTCAGGCAAATTAAGTTCTAGTTTTTGATCAAAAAATAAAAAAAAAACCGTACTAGAACATTTCCTTGCAGATTATAAAAAGAACTCATGTTAAAATGTGAAGAATTATAAATATTTTAAGTATCAACATTTTATAATATAACAAACCTCTTTTTCCAGTTTTTCAGGCTTCTTGAAACGTAAAGCATTTGGCATAAGCTTAATTAAAACATGATGTTTAAATCATGTTTACTGAATTAATTTTATTCACCTACTTCATTAAGTCGCCAACATTATCATTTACTTTTCACCTTAAATTTTTTTTAATATGAATTGCCATACTATCATAATGATAAGCTTCATGATAATTGATAAACTTGCATCAAACAGAGGCTAATCGTTTTTGGAACCTTTCTTCCTTGTGGTTTCTGGTGACATGGATACCGGTCTATTTATTATTAAAATGAATGCCAACATCACGTAGGTATGTCAAGAGTTAATATCTCTCTTTGTAATAAAACAAGTTTTTACGTTAGAAATTAGTAGCTGCGTGGCATTTCAACGTGATTTTGCACTCAACCCTACATAATACAATTCTGTTATAGGCATTTTCGTATTTATAATAATTTTGCCAAATTTTAAAAACTGAATTTTGCAACTAAATTGGGTCAAACTTCAGAAATAATCAGACACCTTGATATACTAGTATACTATGATATACTAGTATAAAATTGGTTTAAAACTACCATAACAACAATTTGACCTATTCTTTTTTTCATATAAAAACCATTTTTGATTGAACATGCTTTAACATTTCGGTAATACTAAACTATGAAAAACATTTTAAATGTTAAAGAAGCAAATTTTGTTCTCACGATACATGTACTTGTGGGCATCATCGCTGTCGTGGCGATCCTTCAGTTTTAATCAATTCCGGATTATGATGAACCCCCTTTTACAAATTCCGATACAAGATTTTTATTTTTAGTAGATATTTCCGACAATTAATTAAGGCTTGTGAGTAGTTTATATTTATTTGATCTAAAAACCATTTGTAAAATCTGAATTTCATCAGGTCAATCTATTCAGTTATGTATGTTTGATTTAACAATTCTTTATTTTTGTTGTCAATTACTTTGTTGAGTATATGAAACTTATATACAACCATTTATTTGTAAATAAAAAATATAAGCTCTTCTTTAGATATCAACGCATTGTAAGATCTCAAATGCACATTAATTGACAAATGACATTCATATTTGGTTCAACGCTAGAAAGAACATATATTATGCATTATGAATAATGAAAATGGAAAATAAAAATTAAAAAATTTCTGATCACATCATGGTCATGCCACTCTAATGACACATATAAAATTAGAAGCAATAAGTTGGATAACGCACATGAAGGAAGTTCTGCTTTGAGGAATATTTGCTATAAAGCAGAGCTTCCCCAATAAAGGAGAATTTCCTACATGAAATATGAAAAGACGAACAGAAATCAAGCTCAAAAAGCGAGATGTGAGAAAAGCAAACACCGATCTCTAAAATTATCAGACGTGGGATTAGGTGCAATGGAGGAGTAAGCATCCCCTGTCGATAGGACACACCCGCCTTGTGCTCCATGTCATGAAAGAATAATGGCCAAACAGTTTGTATGAAAAACGTTAATCAACATGTGACGTAAAGAAATTGCTAACAAGGTCGTTGTATCGACGGTAGAATTAGCAAAATGTTGATTTTAAACAAGACTACTGATATCCTTATATCATCAACTTATTTGTCAATGGGTCACCTTATTTAAGAAATTGTTTATACGCAGAACATGCTCTAGCGTATCGATTCAACTGGGATAAAACTGATGACTTTTAATGTACGTATATTACTATATGAATAAGGGAAGTTGACGATAGAACACTTTGGAATACTTGTATCTGCATCAGAATTCTTTGACAAAATAAGTTTGCAAATAGTGTAAATTTACAAGTAACTTTTTTTAAAATTAAAAACGGAGTTGTCTATGATTTAAAAAAGCCAGGTCTTTAAAACATCATTGGAATGTTGTATAAGGTGTGGAAAAGTGGTATGTTATCATGCTATTGATTTTGGTAAAATTTTGTGATTTCAAATTTTCTAAAAATTCCCTAGAATTTTAAATTATTTATATCTGTTAAACACCACTTCTCGAATACGTTGTTAATGTAATGCTTTAGAAAGAATCTGAATAAAATTCTTGCAATTATTACATCAAAATTCAAAAGGAGCAAAGAATACGCTTAATTGCACTCCTAATGCAAAATCTGAGCAATGCATGTTCGATAAACTAGATTTAAAAATTGTAAACAATAGTAAACGGGGCATAAACTGGATTAACGATTTTGTAATCGTGTTTTCACCTGTGAAACTAATTTTCTTGGTGATAACTTTAATTTCAGAACTAAAGTCTTGCATTAGTAACGTGAAATATGCCGTTCTACATAATAAAATGAACAATCGTTTATATCGTGAAATATTGATAAAGATTTTTATTAAGAGATAAATATCTTACATTTAGAAATCTTTGGAAGGGGGAGGTTGATTGGAGCACAAATTTGTGTAGGCGTCAAAGAGAAACTATGTGCTCTTATCAACTTTTCATGCCACGGACCTTATTGTTCTTTGTATACCACTGCATATACTTGTATTTATCTATATTCACTAGACCAAATTGCGAACGCACCATTCAGAATTCTCATTTGTTTTTTGAATATTTGCCTAATCAGCCCTAGTATATCTAATATGCTTTCTTGCCCAGTCCCGTCAAATTGGCAAGTCTTGGAGACATGGTAGGATCCTCAAGTGACTTCGATGCCCGAAAACTAATTTTCCAAAGTCCACTGTGACCCTTTTTGTCCTGATATGAAGTTGGAATTACCAATGGTGGTCAGTGATGTTGCAACAGAAGCGGTCTCCCAGTCAAATAGGACGGTTTGATTATCACAACACCTAGTAGTCACCAAATGCTTTGGTGTGTATACCGGTACCCCGTCACTCACACTTCCAGTTTCCCCGTTTTATGGAACAATCTTGCAATATTGTCGTATCGTGACAATGTTGTTCCCATCTATAGAAAATATTCTAATGTTTGTTAATCTAACTGGAACAAATTTTCATCAGAAAGGGAAGAAAGGGAAATTCTTGAATTGTTTTCATTTTTACAAACCTTTCCAAAGAAACAACCTCTCCAAACACCACATTTATTCCTTCAAAAACCGTGATCACGATATTCATGCTTTCTATGAAATTGTTACGCCCCAGTAAACGTTGTATTTATTTATCAGTTAACACATTTAAATGGCCTACTTTTAAATCAAGTAACATTTTTATATCAATCACATCATAAGCAATTTTTGAAAAGCTATATATGACTTTTTTTGGTGGTGCGTTAGAAATTTTGTGTACTGTATAATGCTACATTATGCATTTGAACGTTTTCTTTTTGTTCATTTTGGATGTTCATTTCCTTGAAAAACATACATATTTCAAATATTACCCACGTCAGTGCTATCAGAGTAAAGTAAAATGATGCTTTAATTAAGTTAATGTGAAGTTTACAAAAAATATGGTATGTTTATTCGTCTTTACATGTTTAGGGCAAATGCATTCACTACTTCTTTTAACATGTGATTTATTACTCATTATTTTAAATGTTAATGTATGCAGATTTGTTTTAAAACTTTGTACATGTACGTCATTACGGTATCTAGTTGCTGATACCCTCCTTTTTTTTTATAATGTATATTGTCACCTTCTCTGGTTGCTAACGATTAGGGAAAAGAATTCATTTCGGAAGGACTCTAAATGTTCTGGCATGTGAAACAAACTTTCTTTTCCAGAGATCAAATGCCATATTTGTTGCATCAACATTGAGGTAACGTTTTAAGTGTACTTTTAATTTAGCTAAATCTTTATTTTGGACATAAGTATTGCATTAATGCATATGTGAAATTCTTGACTCTTGTATTGCATAAGGCGACTAAAGAAAATTTTGAAATTAATTATTTCGAATTACTTTATACCGTTGTTTAGACAATCTCACAAAAAATTATAACTAAAATCCATGTTCACCGGGAAAATGTAGCTGTAGTATTGAAGATAAAAACTATTTTTAAAAAATATTGGAATATATTGTATTGATATTTGGATCTCTGTATTTACTTTTCCGATGAAATGTGAATTTCATATAATCAATACCGTTTTATGGTCGACAAGCTCGCATGGGACTTTGCATTCGATTAAAAAGCAACATGATCATTTTTTTTAAATATCGTTTCTTTATTTTCCTTATTTAGTGCAATACTGCCGTTGAATATTTGTAACTTTGTAAAATTTAGGCAAAGAGCATTGATTTGTGTAGATTATTCTGTAATAAAACAACCACTTTAACGAAATGATTTGCTTCAAACCAGATTTTCATTTATCCTGGTTGCATTAGGCAATATGCATCGAAATATCAAAAAGTTACTATGGAGACAAAATCGGGAATTTAGAAACGTTCAAGACAGTCCCCAGGGTGGAACGTCATATCGATTGAATAATTTCATTCGTCTTGTTCACCTTAGAAACCACTCCCATACATCGTCTGATTGCAAAAATCGAAACATTGACGAAGGCCTATCAGTCAAAGCAGTCAAAGTAGTCTGCAAACTATACGAACTTTACTGCTGCAACGTCATCATAAGGCTCCCAATCAAAAATTTACTATAGTTATTGTAGCTCTCTATGATAAACTACGGTTTACTGAAGGGCATCTTTTATACCTTATTACTTAGATTTTTTGATTTAATAGGAAACTTTGAATATTTTTTTTTTAGTTTTAGTATCAATATATCTCATATTCAATATCAATAATGTTAATTTATCAAAAATGGTAATTTAGGAAATAATTTTGGAATATACAATTAAGTAATCTTACCTTTTTATATTAAAATATTCTATTTGAGAATTGAGATTTATGAAATATAATGTTGAATTTCAAGGTAAACATACTTAGTAAAAAACCTTACTTATAGTAAAAATATTAACTTAATAAAAACTTTGATCTACTATATAAAAAAGAAAAAAAATTGATACTTTGATTTACTACACTAAATACTCTGATACTATTTTGTATATTTTGCTAGAGTTCAACTTAAGGGACGTTTTGTGTATAATCACAATTTTTTTTTGGTAGCTATGTCGTATTATTGTGGAATCATTATTGTTCGTGGATTTCGTGGGTCACCCTAACCCACGAATTTACATCCCCACGAACGTTTATTTTGTAAACATATTGATTCATTGAATCTAACCTATAAATGATAACCCACGAAATAACGTCCCCAAGAACAAGTAAAATTTTTCTTGCCCACGAACATTGACCCCCACGAATGAAAATGATTCCACAGTATTCAGGGTCTTTGACCGAAACGTAAAATATTATTCTGACAATGCCGTCAGTGACCGTCTTTTGATGGATGAAGTATAATGTTGTTGGAAGGTATCACAGCTAATAGCAAAGATATTTGTGGATCACAGTGGATCATGCATAAATAGAAAGCCTACTGGAGTTCGATACGAAATTTTCCAGAGTAAAATCATCTTATCCTGTTTAATGGGAAACGGGTGAACTAAATTAATCTTGAATAATTATAAGACACTACTGGTTCACGTATTGCGCGTGTTGCTTGTGTATTTCTTGACTATCTTGTCCAGCAGAACGTTCAAATAAATGCAGTGGTCAATCGTTTCACTCGACCTTTCATCCATAAAGCAAATGATGATGCAATGAATACTTGCTCAATCCTTCAGTTATACTAGCCGATCTTGACTTGAACTTGTTTGTATCTGGAAAAACATTCTATTTCATTACCAACTTGGTGACATATATGAGACAGTATTGTCAAGCTAATAGTATCAACTCAAATGATTATCTGAACTGTAATTGACCGTGATTTTATTTTTGACCCAAGTTATTTTCTTTTAAACGTGCTACATTAGACGTGACCAATTTCGCAATAACGAAGAAAAGTAATCAATTACTAGAGTGTTCCAAGGAAAGCATGTGTCGCCTGCTTTGTAGCTTATTAAAGATGTAAATGAATCTAAGAGTTGTCAGCTTTTTATTTACTACTAGCATGATAATTCATGCATTTGTCTGCAAAGAAAAAAAAACATCCATGGATAGTACTTGTAAGACTGTGATAGAATCTGACAATCAAGAAAATATGTTTCCCCAATCCTCAAATGAATAATTAAATTGAAATTATTAGAAATAATTATTTATCGTTTTATTAATATGTGTTTCCAACAATCCTCCAAAAGAGATTTCAGTCTGTCTTCACTGCAATGTCAGTCTGCATAATCCATTGTGGAATAACCGATCCCGATGTATTTTCATAGTATTTAAATATAAGTGTGTGTGGTAACTGAATATCATATAGTTTCAAAGTACAGTATCATGAGCTCATAAACATGTGTAAATGCTCATTATCAAAACCCTGCCTCTCACACTTCAAAAGTCATAAGTAAAATTAAAACTGCCCGGGGTATTTTTTGCAAAGTAGGTCAAAGTCAACTGGATTGTTATGCTGGCATTTTTTTTCATAATGTTTTATGACAAACAGTGTACGTGCTAAATAGCATAGACTTGCCTCTTGAATGTCAAAAATGTGCTGTATATCGGCACTACGAACTATTTTGGAAAGTAGGTCAAAGGTCAAGGTCATGAGTTTGGTAACCATGGTAATTTAGAAAAGCCATAGTGCAAAGCATTATATGTGCACAATATCAAATTCATACCTCTTACAGATACATGTATAAGGTGTGACAGACGGACAGACGCTGGGTAAATCGATCCCTAAGTGTCGCTCTGCTCTGCAGGCGACACAAAAATGAATACATGTATCACAAAATTAAAGATTATTATCTATAAAGATATTTCTGTATTTCTCAAATGTGCACAGCTAATTACTCTCCTTTGCCAGTCTTTCAGCTATGCTGTACTTCTTTTTCAGTAAATGAGACATGAGTGTCCATTCATTGACGGTTTCTGTCCTAGTTTCGGCTGTGGTTTTTGCCAACGAGCTAGGGTGGATGAAATGGGACGCATATGACGAGCTTGAATATCAGTTTCGATCTGTTACAGGTGAAAACTGTAGGTCGCATCCTTTCAACGATTTAAGAATGCCAGAGGACGTTTTAACACAAATACCGAAATATAACGAACTACGCAGCAAAGTCTTCTATAAAAATCGGACAAATCTCATCCATCTACACAATATGGCGTTAAATCGGGCTTTTTACTACAGCTACATATTTCAAAGACTTAACAAGTCCGAAGCCTTCCAATATATGCCTGATATACACTATATGCACTTTTCTGTATCTGCAGACCTCAACGCTAACCCTGTGCTGAATGGAAGTGCTCTATATTTTGACCAGGATTGTTATTACCCAAACTGGGTGACAAACCACGACTTCAATCACACTCTTCCCTTGTTTGCACCGAAAGCATGGCGATGGGATGATACATTTGACACGAGCAATTTTCTCAGGGAGCCAACTCTTACCTCAGTTTTTATATTAGATGCTGGAAGCGGTATAAATAGAAATTATACTAGAGACGAATACCGATCGAATCCATGGTATCATTTCTGGCTGCCTGACACAAAACCTACCTATGATTCTACTCGAAAATACACCTGGAGCGTTAATCTTAAGTTTTCTAATGTTACGGGTTTCTTTACACAAAATACTTTTGAAGGTTTCAATTTCTTTGGTCCTAATAATCCGGGGACTAATGATCCTATAGACAGACTACCTGTACGTTTTACAAGACCTTACTTTGACTGCGGAAAATCAAACAAATGGGTAGTATCTGCAGTTTCTCCAATAGCAGACTTCATGCCTCGATACAGTAATTGGACACACCTCAGACGACCAAGGTAATCATCTAACCAATGAAAATGTATCACTCAGTTGAAAACAAAATGCCATGAATCGTAGTTTGATACATGTATATATCTTTTGCTTCAACACAAGAATTAAACATAAGGAAATTTAACAAATTGTAATATCAACTTTTTATTTTATTTTACTGTGATAATTTAGCAGGCTTATTCAAAAGAAAGAAAAAATTAAAATAAAACCGAAAAAATCCAGATAATTGATATTTTTCTGTCAAGATTCATTGGAGTTACCGTGATGGACACATATTTTGAGCATGTTGATTTTAATGCGTGTGACGTAAGTGATGGAAACCCTGGACCAAGTTATCTGGCGGGAACTCACAGATGCAAGGAACATTCGAAGGTTAACATTTGTGTTTATTTTGTCCTTAAAATAGTTATTTTGTTTTGATTTATAAATGTACATAGTGCAAACTTATCCTAAATAAGTAAAATGAGGACAAAATTCAGTCGACTTGTGTTGAAGTAGAATTCTAGAAAACTAAAAAAAGTTTTGACGTTTTAGTGAAATATAAACTTGAAAAATAAACCCTGATAAGGTTTAAGGTAAAAGAAAAAGGTAAAAGAAAGACAGAGGGGCATCTTGAAATTTCGTAAAAGACAATTAAAATATTTTAAAGTAAGAACTTGAATTGTTCAATGAAGCAAAAAGTATCATTATTGATTTATAGGCGAAAGTAAAGTACCTGTATTACTGCGAGAAATATGTATGAACATTTTTTTTTCTAATGTTATATTTTAATTAAGAATCGTTAAAGCGCATATAAACGCGAATAAGGAAAGCATTTGTAAAATACAAATTAATCAAATCTTAATAACAAAACAAGGAAAGTAAATATTTTAATGAAGGGTGAAAGGAAAGTAAGACTAATTCTAATTCCGTAAACACACTGCAAGAAAATCGGTTTGATGTGTGCATCATGTTGATTAAAAATGTAAATTATCTACTTAATACAGTTCAGTATGAGGCACGCAAGTAAATTTTTAAACACAAGTTGATTAAAATAAATTGTAGAATATGTGTTGAAATTACACTAACCACAAGCAGAAGCCAGATTGTCCAAGGTCTTCGAGAGCTTACATTTCCAACATGGAGATTTTGTGACACATTTTCTACATTCTCTCTGTGCTATAAAAAATCGTATTATGTACCTTAATGCAAAGAAAAACGGGTCCATGGATTGACTTTGTGAATCTGTCAAAGTCAAATTTTATCTTGTCTAAGTGAGAAATAAGCAAAAAAATTATAACTTCCATCACTGGAGTTGACCCTGGCCTTTCAACTCAAAATCAGAAAATGAATATATATTTATTTTTATGGGGGTGACACACAATGACATCAGCTTTACTTCCTTTTCTTACATTGATAAAGCAGGTTGTGTTGATTAATGAACCTCAATTACTTGACTTTCGTTTCTAATATGACCTTATTAGTGATAATTGATATGCAGATATCTTAATTAAGAGTGGCGTCTTATATTAGAATTTTTGAAAGCTTGTCCAAATCAGGATATCTTACATGATCGTTGAAATACGATCACAGCTGATAATGAAAAAAGGTGAAGATAACAATCAGTGATTGAACGTTGACGTTGAAATTGAACTTTGACGTTAAAAATGGTAAACTTATAAAACACATTTGTAAAATGGGTTATCTTCTCTCTTACAATATGTGTATTATATGCACTTTATCACACCTAAATATGAATTTACAATCAGGGAATTTTTCAATGATGGTTTTTACTTTGACCAGAATTGGTGAAAGGTATTAGGAAATTATGTTCCTAAAGTTTCTCCATGTTGTGCGAAATTTATTCAGAAATGATCACAAAATATTTTCGTTACATAAAGTTTTGAATATTTTGTTAATTGGCCTCATCAGAAAGGATTCCTGTAATTAAATGCCCATGCAGATAAGTAAATACAAACACAAAAGAAAGAAACTGAGAGCACCTGATCGTTAATTCTATCCAGAAAGAATGATCTTGTATACCAGTATTTCTTGGCTAAAGTATTTCTCTAGGCATAAAAGAAAACAAGTATATAAAGAGGGAGTGTATTCACAAAGCAGAAAGAGTTCTAAGTAAATGCATAATATAAAACCTTTTTATTTATAACGTTTCATTTTAGTGCAAACATCTGAGTGGTTTTGGATTTCATCGAGGTGGATATACATGTAAGTGTACTGAAGGGTACAGGTATCCAAACGAATTAAAACACCCCTATCTGGGAACTGACATAGAAGAGTCTACATGGACAGAGTATCAGGAGAACTTCAATTGTACTCCAACTGATCGTGAGTATTTACATCAGAAAATCGCCAACTCACGATAAAAACTTTATTTTATATGTAGATAATAACTGTTAATATATATATATATATATATATATATATATATATATATATATATATATATATATATATATATATATATATGCTGTCCAGGCAGTTACACTTCTGAGACATGTATATCCTAGAGCACGGTCCCTTGAAATCTTTTGTAGTTTAGGGACTCAATTGTAATGCCATATATGGCTTCCTGGTGTAAGGGAGATAATTCAAATTGCTCATCAACTCTATTTTTGCTTAGACTCAACATCTAGTATTTTTATGTTCTGTATTGCTGTATGTTCATGTATTTTCTTGTCCTCTTGAGTGTTACAAATTATGCTTGTATCTATGTTATGCCCCCAGTGGGACCATGATTGGCAAATAAATTCTATTCTATTCTATTCTATTCTATATATATATATATATATATATATATATATATATATATATAGATTATGGCATTGAATAGATATCTTCCTATCTTCATTACAGATTTGAATGTTCCCCCAATTGTTGATAACCTAGAGAGTGTGTCCATTGAGTTTTCTGATGAAGAGTTGAACATTGGTTCCATTTCAAGACGATCAGTAAAATCCAGTTACATTCCAGATTCACTAAATTTCGATAAAAGAAGTAGTAGGCGTCAGAAGAGGTCGAATTATGACAGACCTCTTTTTGACCCATTTTCCTATGATAGGGTGATGAAAATTTACCGACACAAATCCAGTGTGACGGGGGTCAATTGTAAGACAATGCCACCCTCAAATTTGATCCTCCCCGGTGATGTGGGGTACGGAGTGAACGACCAGTTTAAATACCAGGCCAGCATGGCTCTCCGATTAGCTCATTTCCTGTCCGTCTACACTCAACACACGGAGGACTTCGAAACATTCGGTCGCATCAAGGGGGGAGCCCGTTTACACTATGAAAAATTATTTGGAGAAGTTTTGGCTAATGTGATGTCCGATTATAAGATTTTATCCAGTGGAATCTTTTTTGAACGTTACGTTTACCACAGTCCCAATGAATCAGTACGTGAGTATTTTGGTCCGCTTGCATTCAAAAAAGATGGGGAATTCTATGTCATTGATACCGCCGGACTAGATAAGCACTATACTTCAGAGCTTTGGTACAGTGAAATGAAATTCAGGTGGAATACCAATACAGAACATTTAAAAATCTTTCATATCCGCTCAGAAATGCGTTCGGATACTCAAGGTACAAGTAGCCTACCTCATGAACACTCTCCTCTGGGTTACAAAGCACCTACTTTAGAACAGGGCCTCTGGATGCCTCCTAAGTTTAAATGTGATGGCCGAATTGACGCATGGGTTATGACATATGTAGTGCCATTTTTTCGAAGGAAAAAGCTTTCAAACAATATTCAGTTTGCGTAAGTAAAAATGAAAGATCTTTGAGAGTAAAAAAAAATATTAAAAGGCTTGTAGAGAATTTAGATTATTTTTCGCTGCAATGAAACGGTTTATACAAATAATAAAAGCATTGCAAGGTAATACATATGTAAGAGAAACTTAAAAAAAAAAGTTGATTTTGATTTTACTTTTGTGAACAATCAACATATAGAGGAGTGGTAACTGTCGATGTCCCCTTGGATCTGTTGGAAATAAATCCTTGTCCGCAACCTTTCCACGTCCAAAACGCATTCAAGAACACAGCGCGATGTCATACACAGTCCACAACTGTAAGTGCTTCATTTCCATTTCAATAACAGTTTAAGCATTGTTAGGATTATCGTTTTAATTATTTTTAAATTAAAAGTGTTTCAAAAACCCATCGTAAATTTTGCAAAATTCAATTAATGCGAGAGAGAGAGAGAGAGAGAGAGAGAGAGAGAGAGAGAGAGAGACCTTTCCCCAAATCACACCCTGTATCAGCCTTAGAACCCAAATCACACCCTGTATCAGCCTTAGAACCCAATATCAACCATACGGCCGAATGTCCGAGGGATTTTATTGGTCGAGGGCTGATACAGGGTGTGATATGGAAAAATGTCTTAATAGTTAAATTAGTTAGTAATAACATACAGTCTGATTAAAACCAGAACCCCTTCTCCTTTCACTCGTTCAGGTGAAAGGAGAAGGGGGGCTGGTTTTAATCAGACTGTAATAACATACAGAACACATCTATTTGAGTAAATAAAGATAAATACTCACCAGCTAGCTTATTATATCATATAACAGTTATCTAAATTTTAACAAAGAATGTGAAAGAAAAAATAGCTGTATTAAAATATCACACGTACTGTTTTTTTATGTTTACTCTATAAGGGTGTGATGTATAACCGTATCAGCCCTGCAGATCCATATTAGTCCTGCAGGATCCGTATCAGCCCTGGAAACTGATACTGCTTTTGTGACGTTAGACACATTACATATGCAAAAAATCCTGTTTTATTACTAAGAATATAATTGTTATTGAGAAAGGATATATATATATATATATATATATATATATATATATATATATATATATATATATATATATATATATATATATATATATATATATAGCACTAAAAACCAACAACACTGTATATCCTAAGTATCGGATCTACTAAGCAGATACAAGGTCACGAATGGGGATGGTTTCTCTGTTCCCTTTGTTTTTATGACTTCTTAACTTTTTTTCTTTGTTCTGAGGAAGGAACACGTCGTCCCGAAAATTTGACAATTTTTATTGTTCGTGTCGTTGGTCGTTTTTAGTGCTTTATATATATATATATATATATATATATATATATATATATATATATATATATATATATATATATATATATATATATATATCCTCTCTCTCGGTAATTCAGTAACATGCAATAAGGTCATTGACCCCTTCTTGATGCTGTATTCGCAAAACTGGAAATTAAAGAATGCTTCATTTGCACACTTGCATCTTGTACTACCCCTAAGTCATAAGTTTTCGAAAATAAATTGAACATAATTCATTTGGAGAATTTCAACAAGGTTTTGTGTTCTTTTCGTATATTTTTATTTTATTTCACCCTACCAGTGTCGTCCGATTGAGGGTTTCCGATTTTCTCGCACGGCATACGCTTGTGACTGTAGACAGGGATTCGAGTATCCATTCAAAGACGGAAAACGTTGGATAGCAGGTTCGCTTCTTGAGCTTGAATATGAGAAAAAACGCCGAGGTCTATTTAGCAGGTGTGTGAATTCTTTCAATAAACGTTATCTACTTTAAAATTTAAAATAGCCCATGAACAATAATAGTGAAACAACCTTTAAGTGTTAGAACTTCTATTTATTCTTTTTCTTATCTATACTACTTTTTGTATATATATATATATATATATATATATATATATATATATATATATATATATATATATATATATATATATATATATATATATATATATGACATATTTTTCTTTTTCAGATACGATACTCTGCGATGTAGAATATCTTCTAGCTCAAAATTATCATACGAAGCTGTAATGATATTTACATATCTATTTTTCCTTTTCTTTCAATAAGCCTACATGATTTATTATAGATTTATAATTATTATTTATATAATGGAAAGGGTCACAAGGATCAGGTGTATACAATGTTCCTGCCTAATCAACTTACATATATCTATATATAGTATTTATTGAATTTATATTAACAATATTTTATAATTATTTTATCTTTTTTATACAAATATTCATTATTTACTTTTATATCTTGATAATAATAAAAATCACACTCAAGTGATATATTTCATCTTATATTTTTATATGGCAAACATGCTTTGAAAAGATATGAAACGGTTTAAGAACTTCTGTATTGAATGACATGAAATGAAAATGAATACTGATAAACACTTGTACGTAAAACCTCCGTCTTGAAAACATTTCAGCAAGCTTTAGTCATTTTCTTAGTGGAAAGAAACCAAAAAAAAAATCTCGTAATTTTGAAAAAATGAAAACATCATGTATTAATTTATCCTCACATCACATGTATAAACATATAAGATTTACAAGATTTCATTAGCCCAAATTGAGCCCCAGGAGAAGCAAGAAAGGTTTACAAACAAGAAAGAAGTGGAATGATCCAAATGATAGAGCAAACATGATCTTATGCATAATTGTATACTGTATACGCATAAACATGAGAAATACTGAATATACTGAATATGCATATTGCACGTATTTTTTATAATCCATGTAAGCATATTAATTAATCTGTTTAATATATTAAGTCAAATACATTCAAATGTAATTTTTAAAATTAAATCTTAAAAATATAACATTTATCGTAAAATTTAAAGATCTGGTACAAACAGAATGTTTTATAGTAACATTATCAATCGGTAATCATTTTTGTACAATGTTTGAGTCAACAAGTTTTAAAAAAAATGAAACATTAATTTTAATACGGTTTTAAATCATCCCTATCTATACAGAATCGTAAGCATTCTTTCAAGATTAGTTTTTCAAAGGACTATCACTAAGCCATTCTCATTTTTTCAACAGAAAGTAAACGTTGATTAGCAGTTGACCATTGACAAATTTCTAGATTACAAAAATTCTTTTTCATTCGCTTTCCTTGTTTAATTCAAAATAAATATTGGGACTTCACTCTTATTCCATATACAGAGTAATAAAAAGCAATATATATATTGAAATTGACATTTATATAATAAAAAAAATCATGTACCCATATATATATACTGACACGTCATTATTAATTTCTGTAAAGATATATCATTAACAACAGATTTTGACACGTCATTATAATTCGCTACAAATTTACATGTCGCTGTTTCAATATCCTTCATATATTCAATTAAAATAAACAGCATTATCTATAAAGAATATTAAACAATAGATATTTACATCTCACTATATGTACACTTCTCTAATCCGAAAAATGGAAGAAAAAAAAAACAAGAAATCTGTGAGCCAATGTTCGATAGTAATAGTCCCGCTCTGATGTGAATATACACTGTACGCTCTCACGTGAATACACACAAGTTTAGTTGCGACAGAAATTTGATACGGACATACGCACGGATAAACAGGAAGTTGATATCGGATTCGTACAAAAATTAATCCCACCATAAGACATGCAAAAGCAAAGAATGTGCCAAAATTTCAAGCATTTGCCTGGTGTAGTTGTTGAGAAATCTGCGACGGAAATGTGGTACGGACAGAGGCAGGGATAAACCTGTCAGGAAGTTGACATCGGATTCGTACGAAAATGAATCCCACCATATTGCATGCAAAAAAAGAGTATGCTAAAACTTCAAGCATCTTCCTTAAGTAGTTGCTGAGAAATCTGCGACGGAAACTTGGTACAGACAGACAGACGCAAGGATATACAGGAAGTTGCTATCGGATTCGTCCAAAAAGGAATCCAACCATATGACATACAAAAAAGAGTATGCTAAAACTTCAAGCATCTTCCTTAAGTAGTTGCTGAGAGATCTGCGACGGAAACTTGGTACATACAGACAGACGCAAGGATATACAGGAAGTTGCTATCGGATTCGTCCAAAAAGGAATCCAACCATATGACATACAAAAAAAGAGTATGCTAAAATTTCAAGCATCTGCCTTCAGTAATTGCTGAGAAAAAATTGCGACAGAAATTTGGAACGGATAGACGTAGGGATAAACAGGAAGCTGACATCGAATTCGTACAAAAATGGATCCAATCATATGGCATTCAAAAGCAAAGTTCAAGCATCAGCGATGAATACTGTGGAATCATTGGTTTTCGTGGTGACTCAATTTTCGCAGAATTCGTGGGTACATGTACCTCTCATCCACGAATTAACATCCTCCACAAATTAATAAACTATGGTTAAAAAGAATACACGATATTACATCTCTACGAACATGTGAATTTAAGCAATCCACGAAAATTGGCCTCAATGAATTTTAAGGATTCTACAGTAGTTGTTGAGAAGACTCCGACGGAAATGATACAGAGAGACTCACGAATAAACAGTAAGTTGACATCGGATTCGTACAAAAAGGAATACCACCATATAACATGGCCTCAACAAAGAGTGTGCTAAAATTCCAAGCATCTGCTTTAAGTATTTGCTGAGAAAACCGCGACGGAAATTTGGTACGAACAGACGCAGGGATAAACAGGAAGTTGACATCAGATTCGTACAAAATTGAGTCCCACCATATGACATGCCAAAACAAGGAGTGCTAAAATTCAAGCATCTGTGAAGAGTAATTGTTGAGAATTTGTTATGGACAAGCAGACACACAAGTATAATTACTGTATACCCCCTCCTTCAGAGCGTGGGTATAATTATAGATAAATTAACAACATGTCACTGTCAATTTCTGAACTGGATATCAATACACAATATATTGTCACATTAATCGTTCTCTGTAATGAAGACTTGTATAAATGATGTATCTGTCTCAATATCATGAAGAATAACAAAAGAATGATATTGACACATATTATTTTATATACAAAGGATACTATCATTCTCTATACTTAAGTTTACTTAAGAGTAATTAATGACAGGTCACTCTTGTTCTAATATCTGTTTATTAAGAGTAAATCTTGACACGTCATCACTAATTACTTTCAATTGGAGTATTTTCGTTGATAAGTTACTATAAACTTCAGAGTAGATATAAAACGGTCACTATGATCGTGCTCTCAACTGAAGGTGAAGTCTGGTTGTCGGGCAAGCAAATATCCGGTAGGTAAATTCCAATTTTTCTGGCATTTCCGAAGTCAGCGAAATTTGAAAGGCTTGGATGAGCTGAGAATAAAAGTGAAATGTAACTTAATTCTGTGTAATGCAGTATAAAATGACTTATTTGTCTCTATGCTGTAACAGACAAGGGGTGCTTACAACTTGATGGTCAACTGAGCGTCATGCGTATTTGCATATAATTTCTAAAATCAAATCATTTTTGTCATATACTTGCTCAGTATATTGCTCTCCTAGAACACTTTATGTAAGTCTTTTCGTCAATGAACTATAATATTAAGATTTAGACCCCATAAGAATAATAAATTTTTCCTCCAGTGACCCTTGGAACCCCTGTGGCAAAAATCGAAATTCCAAAACCTCAGTGCACGTGTTAATTTTATATGCAAAAATTATCATATGAATATATTTCAACTGTATCTTCTACCTGAATTCAATTTCACAGTAAAGATAGAATAATGAACATTTTGTTGTTCTTCACAGAACATGCAATGCGACAACAAGTTTTTGTACATCAAGGTTGTAAGACAATAATTTACAACAACAAAAATCAGCTTAATGATTTTCATAGCATGTTTAAATTTCAAGAAACCAGTTGCTATCAAACTTACTGGATTGATTGATTGTATGTTCCTTAACGTCCCATTAGAAAAAATTTTCACTCATATAGAGACGTCACCATATACCGGTGAAGGGCTTCAAATTTTGACCTTTAATCGGCACTCAGGGACATTGAGCAGTGAGGGATCTTTATCGTGCCAAAGCCTGCCGTGACACGGGGCCTCGGTTTTTAAGGTCTTATCCGAAAGACCCGCAACTTTCACTCAAAAGTGCCGAGCGCATGGCGAAGGAACAGTTGCTACCAATTTTTTTATCGACTTAGGTCAGTCGCGGCCGAGATTCGAACTCATGACCGCCCGATCACGGAGCGAGCGCTCCACCGACTGAGCTACCGTGAACGGTCTAACAGGATTGAAAATCAAACTTCAGTTTCTAGCAATTCACACATCCAATTTTGTTCAATGTATGCTAGCATCGTAAAAAATCCAAAAATTATTATGCTAATGCTTAGATATATATAAATAGAAATAGAAATAAGTGTCCCTGTCATTTAAAAGAAAAAGCTAAAGCTTAAATAAAATGCCCAGTCGCCTTGATGGTCACCGGAATATATTGAGTTTCTTAATGTCTGACCACTTTGGCCCCATATGGTCAAACATTGAACCGGAACTCTGGACCTGTGTGACAAAAATTTTACAGCTTGCCTAAGACTGGGAATACCCTTAGTTTACAAAAGGAAAACAATTTCAAAGATTAATTTTCAGTTTGACAAACTTGCTCTGCCATGGGACGGGAAATCTAGAATCATGAATTTTACAACTATACGACTAACCAAAGGCATAAGTACATTCATGTATTGTAATAATGCAAACAGTTTGATTGCAAGATGTCCATGAGATGGCTCCACCCTGGAGACTAAAATATGGGCCCGGGTGCCAAGAAATTCATAATTTTGATACAGGACTTGGTGCATGTTTATTATAAGTCATGGAAATTGCCTGTTAAATGTCCATAAAAAGATGAGGATTTTCAAAGATGTAATATATAGTACTAAGCCCCATCATGAATTCTAAACGATGGACCCAGTGTGGTCATGAATTTCACATTGGGGGGGGGGGGGGTAGGTAAGTAAACATTGTATTCATGCAAACAGTTTGTCAAGTAGTAATCCATGAGTAAAAAATGTATTTACAATATATGACCAACTTAGCCCAACCCTGTAGCTTGAACCATATGGACCCAAGTGGGGCATGAATTCCACAACTTTGGTGGAGGGTTAAGTATTTATCAAAATCAGGGACAAGGTTTGCCTGATAAATTTCCATGATTAGAGTAGATTTTCAAAGATGTAATGTATTTTCAATAGATAAATAACTAAGCCCTATCTTAGCCCTGAACCAAGGACCCAGTGTTTTCCTTTACAATACATGACCATGCAATGTGTCTCAACCCATAGCCTGAAACATATGAGTCAAAATGGAAAAGATTTGTCTGATAAATTTCCATGATTAGAGAAGATCTTCAAATATGTAATGTATTTTCAATAAATAACCAACTTAGACCTATCCTTAGCCATAAGCCAAGGACCCAGAGACTATGAATTTCACAACTTTGATAAAAGGGTCATTGCGTATTATAATCACACTAATAGCTTGACTGCTTGATGTCATCAAAATCAACTAGAACTGTCCAAAAGGGACAAATACCCCCCGCTGGGTTTTTCAGAGAAGGTACCAAATCACTAATGTTTTCAAGATGTGAGAGGTGTTCACAATTTGCTTAAACATTTAGATTGAAAATTTAATTACTCATTATATTTTTTTTAATGAATGAAACTAAGGTGCAGCCTAATAAAACATCAATACTAGTAATTACAGTGTTTTTTATTACATTGAAAATATAGTTTGCAACTATCTGTCATCTTTGTGAGACATGACACTCTGCAAATTGATTGTTGAAAAAAAAATATCATAATTAATTATACAAAATCAAATTGATCTTAATACCTTTATATCAAACTCATTTTAAAAATAAAAGGTTGGTTCCAGTAACTATGTATTTTTACAGACATAAATTACAATTAAGAGACTTAGACAACAGAGATCTTTATCTCTTTCTGCCCAATTCCCAGGAGATATAGATAAGACCTGCTTGATCATAGATGCCCTAACAGCTTCCCACACTGAACTCATTAATTAATCTTTAACTGGATGCATGTCCACTCATTACTCCCAAGGGACAAATGGATTTACACTATCTGCTGTGTAATGTAAAAACTTTTTTAATACTTTGTGATTTTTTTTTAGTTCTAATGAGTAGTTTTAAGCTGTAGTTCACATTTTTGTTCAGATGCTCTAGATTCTATGTCTCAAACCTTAGACATGAACCCGAAATGACCAAGTCAATAAAAATGAAAAAGAAAAACACCTGTAAAATGCAGAAAAATTATCAAATAATGTTGAAAATACCAGGTGCACATCTTCATATGGTAAATAATAAGTGTACAAATTTTCATACAAATCTATGCAATAGTCTCTGGGAACAGATCCAGACAAAACAACATAATAAAAATGAAAAAAAACCCCTGTAAAATGCAAAAAAATTATCCTATCATGATGAAAATACCAGGTGCACACCTTCATATGGCAACGAATAAGTATTCAAATTTTCAGACAAATCCTTGCAACAGTTTCCAAGAAATGGTCCGGACAAAATCTCATCTACAGACAGACGGACAGACAGACAGACGGACAGACAGACGGACAAGCTGATTCCAATAAACCCCCCCTAAACTTCGTTTGCAGGGGGTATAATTAATCATGCAAACAGCTTGCCTGCTATATGTTCATTACCAAAGAAGACAATTTTATGGGATATAATGGATCTTAAACATATGAGCAATTTAGCCACACACTAAATCCTTACCTACAGCCAAATGGCCATGAATTTCACAAATTAGGTAAAGGGGTCATTGCTTATTATAATCATGCTAATAATTTGACTGCTTGATGTTTATGAGAAGAAATAATTTGAAGATTGAATTAATTTTGATTGATTTGGTACCAACCCTCAGGCCTGAGTGGGAGAGAGAACAAATTTCAAAATTTGTGTTCTCTTTGCCCATAGATGCTTTAGACCAAAGTTGGTTGAAATTGGTTCAGTCCTTTGAGAAAAAAAGCTAAAAATGCTCAAATATTAATGCACAACGGATGAAAACAGATAGAAATAATGGCAGCAATATGTTACCTGAGTGACCCAGTTGAGTTAAAAGAAAATTAATTTTTTTTTATCATACAACTGTAAAATCTTGTATTTACATGGGGTCGAATTTTCGAGGTTTGAGGAAAAACTATTGATTCTTGGGGATTTGATTTCTTGGTTGAAGAAATGCAGAGTTATATATTTCAAACTTTACTGTGGAAGACTTCTTCAGTCTCTCCATACCATGAAAACAATGAAAAACCAAACTTCCAAGAAAATTGGTGATTTAACAGTAACTCCTTATTTATGCAAGATATAATCACGGTATATTGATTCTCATTCAAGATTTTAAAAATGGGTTGCATGATTATCAAGGTTGATTGACATGGATGGGATTGTGAGAACAATCTACATGTATTTTGGGCTCTGATAATCATACCTTGGTTGTTATGATGTAGATCTCACTTTCAGCAAACCTTTGTCCAACACAACCTCGTGGCCCAAACCCAAAAGGGAGATAAGCAAATGGATGGTTGTGTCTAGTTTCTTCATCTACGGATTTATCGCCCCTTAAAAATCGCTCCGGAATAAATTTGTCAGGATCTTTGTAATATTTCGAACTTGTGCTCATGTTTCTTAGTGGAATAAGTACATCTGTCTAATAAAGCAAGACAAACCTCAATAAATGTATATATGATTAGCAAGTATATTTTGAGCTCTGGTTGCATTCAGGCAGTAAAACTACTCGTTTCAATAAGTCCATAAGTTGAATGACAATGATTTCATATTATTAAATACGTACTCCTTTTGGAACTTGGTAACCTCCAATAATAATATCTTCATTTACCCGCCTCAGAGTCCCTATGCTAAGGGGGTAATTCTTCCTACAGTAGAAATGGAAAACATTCAGGAACAAATTTAAACATCTTTATATATATTTTTTGTTTTATTTTTACCTTAGAGATTCTTTGACACAAGCTTTCAGGTAGGGCATTTCTGTCAAAGCCTCCTTGCTCAGGTTACCCTTTCCAATCACAGAGTCAATTTCTTGAAAAAGTCGTTCTTGCTTATCTTGGTGTAAAGCCAGTTCATGCCACAGGAAAGTCAGAGCATTGGAAGTCTGTGAATCAAAATCATTCATTTACTATAGACTCATCCAAGTAGCAATCTATTTAACATTAATCATGACAGATATTTGTGTATCGTAAGTGCTCCTTAAATGGGAAGTGTGAATGTATAAATAATTGAATTTCCCCTCTTTCAATTCTTGAACCTCAAATGAAACCAGCGAGTGTCTCTTACTACGAAAAACCAGTATTCTGTATGAATTATGACTTGAATGAAAAAAAGAAACTACATCATATGTACATGTTGATATGTATATTTTTAAAAGAAAATATCAATTCCAATCAAAAATATCTAAAATCAAAATCAAACCCAAAACGTTTTAAGATTGAGAAGAAACAGTTGTGTATATCTCAGACTCACTGAGTCAATGCCACCAACAAATAAGTCAAGAATCAAACTCTGGGCTTTTTCTGGAGTCATTCTCGCACTGTAGATAAGAGCATACAGGAGATTAGGCTCGTCTGAGAGTGAGTCCAACTTCCCCTCACTTTCTAGTTTTATCATCTCATCCAATGCTTTGTGCATTTCATTACTCGCAACCCTGAAATAAAAAAAAGACTTCATGCATCTATCATAGTGTCCATGTAGAACAGAATCAAGAAATTTATTGCTAAAAGCAATACTCCTTCGTCAAACAACTGTCACTTGCAAAATAATACTTAAATGAGGAGAAAATATTCTGTTTTGCAGTTGTTTGAAGACTTAGATGCTGTTGGTATATACATTTCTCTCACCTATACATGTTGTCCGCTGCTTTTGCAAATTTCTTATACAGTGGAGTTTTGAAGTATTTGTAAGGTTTTACGTGTCTACTTGTTTCATCAATGCCGCGGAAAAAGACTCCCAAGTCCTCCACGAAATCCAGGTTAGCTGTTCCATCTAAACATCCCAAACGTCTGTTGAAGCAAAGCATCCCTACACCTGAAATATTTGTACAGGTGTTTGTCAAGAGTAATTTATTTTGCTACTTTTTTAGAAAGCAAAACGCCTTTATCTGGTGAAACATTTTGAGATCCGTCGTCGGAACCGTCAGGTTTTTTTCTTTGTGAATGTGGTGAAACGGAGAGAAAACCCGTGGGTTCCAACGACGTTTGAAGTCTATGTATTTGAAAGTTAAATAAGTATTAAGTCGAAGTCAAATACCATGCCAGAGAATCAGGGAAACCAGATACATGTACTTTTATGTGGATTTATTGTTTCTGAAACTAAGATTTACGTACATGTAAGAGATGCATACATGTACATGTATACGTACAATGTATTTATTTAGTTATATTTATGTGATTATTAGTTACATGTATAGTTACAATTATGATTTGATATGTCAAAGCCATTTCATCATTTTTACAAACATTTTTTTGACATGGATTCTTTACAAATGTTACATGCCGAAGATCCATGTCGAGCTTTTAATTAGTCAGCATCAAGTTTACCTCAACCAGGACTATTCAAATCATCCCAGTAAAATGAATATTACAGGAAACTAAGCTATTGGACTTATGAAACATATACATGTATATTACACCTTTTATAAAAGTGGCTTACTTTCTGTTGTGAAGTTAATCAAAGTTTTTAAACAGTCTTTTATTTCAAGAGAATCTCTGTATTTGGCGATAAAGTCGTCTGCTACTGGTGTCAGAATTGGTAAATATGACGTCACGGCAGTGGGACGCAACATTTGGTCATTTGCAGGTTTTCTCAGCTTTGCCCATTGTTCACCTTGCCTATAAATAAACAGCATGTCTCTTAAAATGCACTTAAAATGTGCAATCTCTGTCTTACAACGCACATGTAAATAAGCAACCTCTCTCTAACAATGCGTCTATATATAAGAAATCTTTTCTCTATAATACTCCTATAAATGAGCAATTTTTCTTTTACGACATTCCTACAAATTAGTAAATTCTTTCTCTCATGACGAATCTTTAAATTAGCAATCTCTCTCTCTCTCTTACAGTGTGCCTAAGAATTAGCAATCTCCCTTAACAATGCCCCTATAAACTAGAAATCTTCTCTAACAATGCGCCTATAAATATGAAATCTCTTTTACAATTAGAAATCTCTACAATGCCTATAAAATATAAATTCAAGGATGTGGCAAAGCCAAAACCAATTTTAACACTAGAGAGATGAAAACATATAGAAGTATAAACCAAATCACATTATTTATAATAGTGGCAATAGCATGAATCGTCTGAGCATTCTGAATGTCCACATTGGTACATGCGTATCTCAAAACTGATCTTAAACCTGTATACTTAACAGTGATGCTAGTCCAGGTGACAGATTCTTTCTCTTGTAATAGACGTCTAGTATATCGATTATGGGTCGGTAGGGTTGTTTTTCTGGGTAACCAAGCACCTGCTGGGAAAACTTCGGGTTGGATACCACAACCATCCACTGGCTACCAGCACGGAACTTCATTATGTCACCATATTTATCAGCAAAAGTTTGAACTAACTTGTACATTTTCGGGACTGTGACTGAAGCTTGAAACAAAATATATTTAAATTCAATTGAGTTATTTCTATAAAATGGATAATTTGTAATCTTTTTTTCTATCAGCATTAACAAACACAGCAAAATATAAAATTCTGAGCTTTACTATTTTCAGGTATTCAAAACATAGTTACATGTACACACCCTCCTTCAAAATAAATTTTGAGAAAAACTAGATTGCACTCACAGGGTCAAGTCGATATCGCTACTCTATCTTTTTTTTTTCATTGCTCACGCCCTCTCTCTCTCCTTTAAAATACATACTAAAAGGGTGAAAATGAAGAGCTGTTCCCAGATACGGGAGACTGTAAATTCCACCAGGACCCGGAATCTCTTGAAAAGGTTTTGAATTCCTGGTGGCGGAACTTGTTACTTCAGGCGCGGCAGACGTATGTTGATATCTACACGCACGTAAGAGGCTCATAAAGGATCGCTGGATGGGTCCCCTTATAACAGCAGTAAATAAATCATAAATGAAAAATCAAAAACTTTTTTCTTTCTTTTAATTATAAATACGAATATTAATTCAAATATTCAGTGCGACATGGATAGATAATCATATAATTGTTGATTTTACGTACAGTGATATTGCACACACCTATATTGAATAATTCTCATTCAGAGTTACTTCATATAAATCAATGGGACAATACAATTATACAGCCAACTTGTGTCAATATTCACCAGTATAAGTACAATAACTCTATACCATATACATATATCAACATCACAGGAGTCTTAAGTTTTATCGTGGAAAAAAAATTCCGGAAATTTTTTTTCTACCTTTTCTACCCGTTGGGGGAGGGGGGGGGGGGTAAAATATGTTTGGGTTTAGCCCGTGAAGTTTTGTGACTAATTGTTGTTTGAGCTATTTATTCTAGTAAAAAAAATTCCAATCTGCTTGACGACTACAGGCCTTGTATAGCCTTTTTCCACCTTGACAGCTCATACCCGACTCTGTAGCCTGTTTAAACATTCCTTATAGCTAGGTCTACGCCAGTTTTACCAGGTGTGAAACTTTATAGAATGTGGGGAAAAGGCACTCCTCTTCTGGCATCATTTTTAAATCCTTAACTGTGTGAGCATTCCATAAAAAATTTACGATAAGGTTTCATAAAACCTAAAAATGAGGTAAAAATTCAAATTCTACGGAATAATTGTTCATACCAAATGAGTGAATTAAAGTGATTGGATGACAAATGCTCATTCCAAAATAGATTTTATAGTTAGACGCAGGTAGAAAATATGTCGTATTTTTGAGGTTGCGCCGCATGGTTATACAATTGCTTACAAAAAAATTAACTATTTATTAAAAAAAAAAACAACTCATGATTTATTGATCATTCTACATATAGAAAAGATTTTGCTTACTAAAATGGTAAAAATTAAATGACGTATCTCAAACAGTTTTAATTCTATGGCGCTATTTTACGAACTTTTTGATAACCTCTTGTTTACAGCTTCACGAAAACGTTAAACTGGGGCTTATTATTAAAAAAATCCTACATTCTGGATCCCTTCCAAATAAATTATATCATACTGACAAGTCCCACAATACAATGAATGTTTTTATATACCAAAAGTGCAAAAATAGATAATTGTCTGTTCTACTCCAGTCAGACTTCATTTGAATGCCAACCCATTACTAACCACAATATACAGGTACATGTACAATATGTTTATTCTCACAAAATTTGTGCAACTAGATACACACAATCGTGCACACGCATAATACGATAAAAACAAGAAGCTGAAGTGCCTTAAGGTTCACCCGAATAAAATACAACCCTGAGCAGGGATTTTCAAAGACTTAATGAATTTTCACTATATAATCAATAGAGCCCCCATCCCCCTAACACCAGAACCCATGACCCTGGGGCCAGGAATTTTACAATTTTGATAGAGACACCTTTGTTCACCATAATTACGCACATAGTTTATCTGCTAAATACCCAGTGTTTGCAATATATAATCAATAGAGCCTCACCCTAACACCAGAACCCCTGACCCAGTGACCCAGGGATTTCCCAATTTTGGATGAGGCATCCTTTCTCATTATAACCATGCACTTAGGCCTTACTTTGCTTAATATTAAGGTGCAGAGATGAAAATTTTTAAAGAAATGATGGAGTTTCATTATTAAAAGATCTCCGTCCTAACATGCACCAGAACCCCGGACCCAGGGTCCATGAATTTCAAAAAATTTTGAAATCATATCCATGCAATTAGTGTGACTGATAAATATATATGTTGAGAAAAGAAGATTTTTAAAGAATTTATGCATTTTCACTTTATGATCTATAAAGCCCGATTTTTACACCAAAACCCCTTACTCAGGGGTCATGAAATTCACTATTTTGGAAAGGGTGCCCTTTTTCATCATACTTTGTTTGCTTTATGCCCCAGGGCACAGAAGAAGATTGTCAAAATAATAATGCATTTCACTATATAATGAATAGTTCTACTGTTCTACACTCTAACATCAGAACCTCTCACCCAGGGGTTATGAATTTCCCATTTTTATAAGAGGTCACCTTGCTCATCATTACTATGCGATTAGTTTGTATGCTGAATACCCAGCCAGGGGCAGAAAAGAAGATTTTTAAAGAATTTATGCATTTTCACTATATGATCATTAAAGCCCCACCCTAATGCCAGGCCCCTCACCCTGGGGCAAAAACTCATAATTTGGGAAGAGGCACTCTTGCTCATCATAATCATGCATTTTCTTTGTTTATTAATACCCAGGAGCAGAGTAGACAATTCTCAGAGAAAAAATGCATTTTCAGTATATATACATGTTACGTACAGCAATAAAAACAGAATCCCTGACCCAAGTTTAATGAATTTCACAATTTTGGAAAAGGTACCATTGCTTATCATAACCATCATGCACTTAGTTTGTCTGCTGAATTTATAAGAGTAGAGGAGAAGCTTTTTATAGATATAATGCACCACCTAGCTTAAAAACCCTTGACCCAGGAGCCATGAATTTTACAGTTTGGTAGAGGGCTCAATGTTTATACTTATACAATCATGCCAACAGTTTGAGTGCTTATGGGTGAATTAAAAAAAAATGACCATCAAACTGAAATTTTTTGGAAAACTTCAACTACTTCTAACATATTTTTCACTTATATCATCATATTCCACATGCATTCTAGTTTAAAATCCTGAAGTGGCAATAGAATAGACAATTGGATTAAAAAGTTTCAGAATTTTTTTAGTAAAATTTCTTTTGAAAAAAGAAAATATCATTACACCTTAAAAGACTTTCTAAAATACATAATCACAAGAAATTATAGTTTTTTATGCTTCAAAATGGTAAAAGGGGTATAAATGATTAAATCTAGACCTTGATTGAGTATCTTCTCTTGTATGTGTGACAAAAAATTGGCTTTTTGATTGTTATTTTACATTATTTTTTCAATTCACACAATAACCCATTCTTACTTTGTAAATTAATTTGTCGTTTTGATATTTTTGATCGTTTACGGCAGGTTTTTCATATATTGAAGACCTTGAGACATGATTATTTGCAAAGTGTAATATATATAAATTGTATATAAAACTATATGTGAAATGATGAAAACTATTCCCTGAATTGACTAGAAAATTTTTGTAATTTGTTGATAGACATAGTGTTTAATTTTTGAACATCAGATAGTATCAAACATTTTTTAAACTCATTTTTTAAGTAAAGACTAGACTTTGACCCGTGCGTGCACGGGTTGACATTGTTATGAATGCATCCATGTGCATATCGGACATTTACAAAATAGATACATCGACACATTCATATTGTAAGGTACTTTTGAAATAAACAATGAATGTGAATATAATTCTGGGTTTTTTTGTTTTTGTTTTGTTTTGTTTTGCAAAATTGTTGCGTAACGGCGTAGCGCAGAATGGGTTTGACCCCCCAGTTAGCTATAAATCAAGTCATGAGTTCGAATCACGCCGGGCTTACATAAATTTCACCTTTCCAAACAAATTTAATAAAAGAAACTATGGATATTTATTGAAAATATGACAACAACAAAGAGTTGAGCACTGCTGATACATATCAAGCAAAGTAATGAAAATGAAGAAATGTGCTAAGCTGATATTTTTACACAATCAGTCATTAAACTAAAGGTGTAAAAAAAATTTTGTTACAATTTTAACACTGCAGGTCTCAACTTGTTCAAAATATGACCTCAACAATAAAAGAGTTAAGCACTGCTAATACATATACTTTATATATACACAGGTAATAGACATATATAATCTGTAAAAGCAGAAATGAAAATGGACAAATGTGTTATACTGGTGTTTATATACGTAACGTACTGAAAATCAATAACAATGATTTAGATATTTCACCCACTTTTGTTTTGAGTGTTAAAGAAATTTTTGGAGGTGAAATGTAAACAATAAAATGCTTTCTTTGATGGTTCACGTGGGAAATGCACGGCGCAAGCATTGCAGAAAAAAATTACATAATCTGCTAATACGGGTTACATGTTTTTTTTCTGCAATGCTACTTTTATGCTAGTGTCATGCATATCTCGCATGAACCACTTAAGAAAGCATTTTATTATTTAAATAACAGCTACGAATGCATGGTACATATGCATGGACATACACGCGGGTAAACAGGCAGGACAATAAACACAAAGGCATACATAAAAGACAGGAGGTACGTGTTGTTGACAACATGGCTATAGGATTTGACTGGTTATACCTGGGTCCCAGGTAACTCAGGGGGTGTTCACCGTATTGTTGACAGACCAGGGTCAGAGGTCATTACATGTATTTACATAATTTAGCCTACAACAATGCTATTAATTTCACTACACTCTCCTAAGAAATATGATGTGAATTTTTTGCATGGAATCAAATATTTCTTTGCCCGTAGTTTATGTTTCATATTTACCGCGTTATAAATTTTAGCAGTGAAGGTAATAGTAAACATGGCGAACAAACTCAAGTTACAATCATTTAGACACATTTCAAATTGAAAATATCAGTTATATTGACATTATTTAATTATTTCGATTTATTTCAAAGTTAAGAAATGAAAATAATGTTATTGTAATTTTTGGCGGAAAAAGAATGCCTACTTCACTAAGATGTGATTCTAGCTGGAGTTGTGACCCCCCCCCCCCTTCCCCTCCAAAAAGCATAAAAGAAAGGAAGGATAAAATAAAATCGAGTAGTTACATTAATATTGCTCCTACGATAATGAGCTTTTTGCCTCCGTTGAGATGGCCAGAGACATACACATGTAAATAACATAATAAATGTGTCTCCGAGATGGCGATTGATTACCCACATGGCTACAATATCACATTTGCATGGATAAACTCAGAAACGATAATACAAATACGTGTTAATTTTCATTGGAAATTTGCTATATATTCTGTTCATATATATTTATCATTTCCTATTAGAGAAATTATAA